CCAGGAGGCGGAGGTTGCGGTGAGCCGAGATCGCGCCATTGCACTCCAGCCTGGGTAACAAGAGCGAAACTCCGTCCCAAAAAAAAAAAAAAGAAACTATACAACATGGTGACTGGCTAATAACAATTTATTGTATTTTTGAAAATTGCCAAGAGTAGATTTTGTGTTCCTACCACACACAAAAAATGATAAATATGGGAAAAATGCATCTGTTAATTAGCTCAATTTAGCTACTCCACAACGTATACATATTTCAAAATATACTGTACATGATAATTATATACAATTTTTATTTGTCAGTTTTTAAAAAGGAAAAAAGTTTTTCTAAAAATAGCAAAGATTATACCTTAATAAATCTTCCAAAACATATTAGTATTTTCTAGCAAACCTATAAATAGTATAGCTAAAATCATAAAGACAAAGTAAAACATCAAAGAGATATTAGCTAAAAAAAAAAACAAAAAACAAAAATTATCCTTAAACTGTAAGGATGTTGACTTGAGTATAGGCTCAAAATAAAACCTTTAAATAAAAATCATATGTAAGAAATACATATAGTTTAGGCCAGGCTGAGTGGTTCCCTATAATCCTAGCACTTTGAGAGGCCAAGGTGAGCACATGGCTTGAGCCCAGGAGTTCGAGACCAGGTTGGCCAACATGGTGAAACCCTATCTTTACCAAAAAATAAAAAAATCAGCTGGGCATGGAGGTGCATGCCTGAAGGTCCAGGTACTCGGGAGGCTGAGGTAGGTGAATCACTTCAACTCAGCAGGTGGAGGCTGCAGTGAGCTGAAATAGCATCCCTGTACTCTAGCCTGGACACAGTGATCCTGTCTCAAAGAAAAATAAAAGAAGAAAAAAATAAGTATCATTTAAATATATAGTATTCATTATTCATTTTGCTTATTTCTATTTTTGATTCAGTGCGGTTGGGGAGAAGCAAAGGAGAAAGAAGCTTGCTGTGTGTTAAATGCTACTTACCCAAATATCTCTTCATGCTGTTTTCAAAGTCACTTGATACCTCATTTATCAGACTTTCAAGGAGCTCTTCTCTTTCTTTCCCTTCCTTTAAAGACTCAGGTATCAGCCTTAACATGTGATCCAGCCATTCCTGCTGAATAGGTACTATAGGACTACTTTCTACACATTGTTTCATATAAATATAGTTGAACTGGGAACATAATAAGAAAAAATTAAATGTTCTGCATGGTTGTAGCATTTCAGTGTAACTCCTGAACTCTCCTTCCTAAGATAACATTTTTTCAGATTAAAAATAAGCTGAAAAATAACATTTTCAGAATAAAAACCACTTAATCCAAAAGTACACCCTACAAATAAACCATTTTATCTTTTTCTTTATGATGAATTATTGCCAAATTAATGTTCTTAATAGAGTCTTCATTTCCTCAAGGCAAAACAAAGATTATCTAACTTATTATTCCTTATTATCTAACTTATTATTATAATATATCCACTGATTCAACAAATATTCAGACATTGTTCTAAACGCTGAGTATAGAGTAGCTGAACAAAACAGACAAAGCCTATGCTCTCTTGGAGATTATATTCCAGTACAATGGTAGTAGAATATAATTTCATAAATTCTTTCATAAGAATGGTCTGACTAAAAATAGACAAGAATAAATGAAAAGACACTTGATTTTAGTAAAGACATTTTAACATCATGGAAATTTCAGTTTTCCCAAAATTAACACAATGCCAATAAAAATATCTACAAACATTTTTATGGAATTAGATAAGTTGATCCTAAAGTTCATGTGGAAAAATAAACATGCAAAATAACCAAGAAAACCCTGAGAAAGAAAATCTGCAATGGAGGGCTAGCCCTAGGAGACATTAGAACATACCAGAAAGCCTGGTATGTAGAACATTAGAACATACCAGAAAGCCTGGTAGCACAGGTATATGAATAAACACACCAGTGGAAAACAAAAAAAGTCAAAAAATAGACCAATATATCAGAAAATTTAGCACATGATAAACATGGCATCTCAAATCACTGGGTTTTAATAACTACTTCTGGAACAACTGGTTAGCCATTTAGAAAAAGATAAAATCCACACACATGAATAAACTCCAGAATTTAACTTAAACAATGAAATTATATAAAAGGATCAAGAAGAAAAACATAGATGAAGTATTTTATAACTTGAGTATAGGAAAAACCTTTTTATCTATGATTCAAATACTAGATACAAAAAAAATCAAATGATAGATTAATTTTTACTACATACAAATGTAAATGTTTGCATAACAAAAACAATTTAAAAAGACAATTGACAATCTGGCAGAAAATATTTGCAACATAGATCTCAGATAAAGTATAAAGAATGCTTTAAAATTTAGGTGATGGGTGAACCTTAAGGACATTATGCTAAGTGAAATAAGCCAATCACAATAAGACAAGTATTGCATTATTCCACTTATATGAAAAATGGAGTAGGTAAATTTATAGAAACAGAAAACAAAATGGTAGCTACCAAGGGGTATGAGGAAGAGGAAGTTGTTTTTTAATAAGTACAGAGTTTCAGTTTTGCAAGATGAAAATGTTCTGAAGATTTGCTGCACAGCAATATGAAACTACTACTAAACTGTGCTTGCTTTGGCAGCACATATACTAAAATTGGAACGATACAGAGAAGATTAGCATGGCCTCCGTGCAAGGATGACACACAAATTCATGAAACATTCCATATTTTTAAAACAATAAATACTGGCGAGCTGTGGAGAAAAAGGAATGCTTTTACACTGTTCGTGGGAATGTAAATTATTTCAACCATTGTGGAAGACAGTATGGCGATTCCTCAAGAATCTAGAACCAGAAATAGCATTTGATCCAGGAATCCCATTACTGAGTATATACCCAAAGAAACGTAAATCATTCTACTAAAGACACATGCACACATATGTTTATTGCAGCACTATTTATAATAGCAAAGTCATGGAACCAATCCAAATGCCCATCAGTGATAGACTGGATAAAGAAAATGTGGTCCAGATATACCATGGAATACTACACAGCCATAAAAAGGAATGAGATCACATCCTTTGCAGGGACATGGATGAAGCTGGAAGCCATCATCCTCAGCAAACACAGGAACAGAAAACCAAATACTGCATATTCTCACTCCTAAATGGGAGGTGAACAATGAGAACACATGGACACAGACAGGGGAACAACACAAACCAGGGCCCCATAGTGAGGTGGAGGGCAAGGGAAGGGAACCTAGAGGATGGGCCAATAGGTGCAGCAAACCACCATGGCATAAGTATACCTATGTAACAAACCTGCATGTTATGCACATGTATCCCAGAACTTAAAATTTTTTAAATTTTAAAAATTTAAAATTTTTTAAAACAATTTTTTTTAAAGAAAATACTACTAAACTGTACCCTTAAAAATGGTTAAGATAGGCCAGGTGTGGTGGCACGTGCATTAGTCCCAGCTACTCGGGAGGCTGAGGTGGGAGGATCGCTTGAGCCTAGGAGTTCTGGGCTGTGGTGCGCTGTGCCGATCGGGTGTCCACACTAAGTTCGGCATCAATATGGTTACCTCCGGGGAGCAGGGGATCACCAGGTTGCCTAAGGAGGGGTGAACCGGCCCAGATCAGAAACAGAGCAGGTCAAAACTCTGGTGCTGATCAGTAGTGGGATCACACCTGTGAATGGCCACTGCACTCCAGCCTGGGCAACATAGTGAGACCCCATCTCAAAAAAATAAATAATTTTTAAAAAATGGTTAAGATGGTTTTATGTTATGTGTATTTTTTCACAATTTGCAAACGTTTAGGGGAAAATAACACCAAAACTACACCAGAAAAATGGGCAGAAGATATAAACCAACATTTCACAATAAAAATATAATTAAAGGCCAGGTACAGTGGCTCATGCCTGTAATCCCAGTACTTTGGGAGGCCAACGTGGTTAGATCGCTTGAGGCCAAGAATTCAAGGCCAGCCTGGCCAACATAGTAAAACCCTGTCTCTGCTAAAAATACAAAAAAGTAGCTGGGTGTGGTGGTGGGTGCCTGTAATCTCAGCTACTCGGGAGCCTGAGGCAGGAGAATTGCTTGAGCCTCTGAGGCAGAGGTTCCAGTGAGCTGAGATTGCTCCATTGCACTCCAGCCCAGGCGACAGCGTGAGACTCCGTCTCAAAATATTAATACTAATAATACTAATAATGGCACCTAAACCATATTTTTTAATGTATAATCTTATTCATAATTACAGAAAGCAAATTTAAACTACCCTGAAATAGCATCTGTCATGTATCAGATTGACAAAATTTTTTTTAAATATGACCCCCACATTCTTTTGTGAAACTATGGGGAATCAAACACTCTCACAAATTTTGCAATATCTAACAAGACTACATATTGACCCAGAAGTCCCACTTAGAGAAATTAACACTATACCTCCAACAGTATGAAAACACACATATACAAGGTTATTCATTACAGCAAAATACTGGAAACATTTAAGAGTGGTTGATGCATACATTGGTGTTCTGTGCAGCAATACTGAAAAATGAGGAAGATTGATATGGAGCAATTTCTACGATAAATTATTGAGTTAAAAACAAAATGTAATCAGGTGTGGTGGCTCACACCTGTATTCCCAGCACTTTAGGAGCCAAGGTGGGCAGATCACGAGATCAAGAAATCTAAACCATCCTGGCCAAATATGGTGAAACGCCATGTCTACCAAAAATTAAAAGAAAAAAAATTAGCTGGGTGTAGTGGTGTGCACCTGTAGTCCCAGCTACTGGGGAGGCTGAGGTAGAATTGCTTGAACCTGGGAGGCGAAGGTTGCAGTGAGTTGAAATTGCACCACTGCACTCCAGCCTGGGCGACAGAGCGAGACTCCATCTCAAAAAAAAAAAAAAAAACCAGAGCAAGAGTACCTGTAGTATGATGCATTTTGTGTAAGATAAAAGGAAATAAGAAAACATACCTGTTCATTTGTGAAAAAAAAAAAACACACACACACACAGAGAAGGATAAATCAAAAATTAATGAGATTGGTTATATGAAAGAGTGGCTTGGAACAGGTAGAAAGTATGGGGGCTGCCGGGCGCGGTGGCTCACGCCTGTAATCCCAGCACTTTGGGAGGCCGAGGCAGGTGGATCACGAGGTCAAGAGATCGAGACCATCCTGGTCAACATGGTAAAACCCCGTCTCTACTAAAACTACAAAAAATTAGCTGGGCATGGTGGCGCGTGCCTGTAATCACAGCTACTCAGGAGGCTGAGGCAGGAGAATTGCCTGAACCCAGGAGGCGGAGGTTGCGGTGAGCCGAGATCGCGCCATTGCACTCCAGCCTGGGTAACAAGAGCGAAACTCTGTCTCAAAAAAAAAAAAAAAAAAAAAGAAAGTATGGAGGCATAGGAACAGGGTAGAAGGGATGGGAGATGCTTTTTTGAGGTGTATTTTTGGTATAGTTCTGATTTTAAACCTTGCTGTTGTTTCACATGCTCAAAGTATAACTAAAAAATATCAATACAAATAGGGAAGAAGCTCCAAATGAAAACAAACAAATCAATGAACCTACCTAAATTTCAAGTTATTAATAATTACCTAGCTGAAAACATATTAATAATTACCTACTGAACAGGAGTGTAGAACCAATATTGAACACAATATTTTAACCATATATCTTTATGCTAAGAATAAAATACTATAGATGAATATTAAATTATGGTGAACAGGTTTGTTTTTCACAGTAGCATGAGTTAGCAATTTTGAAATTATTTATGTATACTCTAGAATTTAACAAAATAAGTAAACCTTGTGGCTAATGGATGAAAGCCAGATTCCTCACTGTCAGAGATGGGAGCTATGCATAGAGAAAGGGGGACAGGCTAGAATGAACCCTGTGATGTTGAACTGGAATAGGAGGTATCAGTACGAATCCATGGTTTTTGAGAAGGAGAGAGAAATAATTATTTTCTAGATCTTTCTGCTGAGAAAGCCAGGAAGCAATGACACTCAGTATCGAGGAGCACATCTAACACACACATCATGGTTTCTAACTACCATTCTCTACTAAAAGGAGCCAAAAATCCCTAGAGAAATGACTGATTCCAGGGCTAGAATAGAAAAAGTATACACAGCATGATCCTGGAAAATCTTATTACGCCAAAAAGTAAGG